GAACATCTGCAGTTCTTAAATTCTGGAGGGTGTTAGTTACACCAGTCTGACTGCTACTTTTCTCTAATCATTCTGCTGTTTGTCTTCCTTCCCTTCCTTTTCACTCATCTTTGACATCCTCAAATTACTTGCCTAATGCAGACCTATTGATTTAGCAGCAGCAAACGAGTCTCTGGTGAGATGGGAGCTGCCAAATGAACATATAGATGAAATGTATTCCTGCCCTGAAGGTCATCAGCTGGCTTGATCTGAAACGCTAAAGCTTTCTGCCTGTGTTTTGAACAATACCAAGCACACCCCCAGAATTCATTAATTTCAAGACGCTTGCAAGTTTATGTTTATGGATACAGAAAACCCATGCCACCAAAATACTGCAGCTCCTCCAATGGGACAGGCACATGCCCTCTCCAGCTGGAACCACCAACGGTGAAGCTACCATGGGAATAAAGGCTGACCTGACAGCTCAACAAATATGCTTCATATTCAAAGAGTTATGGAAATGTTAAGATTTGCCAATGGGCAGAAGGGCTTCATATTTATGGGGTTTTGGTCAATGCTATGCTTTCTACCTTAATTCTGCATAAGGTCTATATTTTATGAGAAAAATGAGTTCTGCCTGTTGGACTGTCTGTTCCTGGAGAACCCATTTGTATCATTCTTGCTGTTTTATCTCTCCCAGTTGTTAGGAAGAACATAACTGACAATCACCAGACTCACTGTTTAAAGCTTTCCTAATATGAGAGAAGAAGTAGCCCTGCTTTCAGCTCATTTTCAGTCCTTGAAAGGGAGCCAAGTACAAGAGGACTGGAATTGCGCAAGCATTTTGTACCACCTGAAATGCTAATGTTGAGTGTTGCACTGAGATTAAAATCTCCAGCTCTTTTTTGATAGTGCTTCATATTCATGTTAAATGAGAAAGCGAACTATATACACATCTGCCAAGAGCGAATAAGTCAGCCTAGAAATATCCAAAGACTTAGAACTGTGGATTATAGGTAAAGGAAGGCATGAATCCAGCAAACTGGACTGCATGTGAGACTCTCTCTGTGCAGGTAAGATTTGGGGTTTTTACCCAATGCGCTGAAATCCCGAATTACATTATTAGCTAACCAGCTATGTTATCATAAAATAGACACTAGTGCTGGTCATAACCAAATGCTATTTGGCATTTACCTCTCGAAAAGCTCAGCAGGTTATTACGTGTGAAATGAGGCAAGTCCTGCCAGCCTGGTTGTATGAGAACAGTTCCACTGACTTCAAAATAACTACTTAAGCAAGTCATAAAGTAGTATTGACTTATTATCTTTACTGATCCTTTGACTAGGAGGAAAAAAATGTTCACAGTCAGCTGCCAAGAACAATTAATATTCAGGATACTCTTTTAATCTCTAAAAACAGAGAACTTCATGAAGAGTACATTTAAAGGAAAAACCTGTTCCTAAAGTAAAATTACACTCAAATAGGACAAAGAGATTAATTACAACCTACTTGCCAAAGGTGTCCTGTGCAGCCATTTGTACATAAATTTTATTGCACAATGAATCTTTGGCATTGCTCTTAGAACATGAATATGATTTAGGAGCTTGTGAAATGCATCTGCCACACTGATATCCTAATACAGATAGAAAACTGGAAATATTTCTGAGGCTATTTGCTGAATTTCCTATGATTTAGTATGTAGGAGGCAGTTCTAGGCAACAGATGGTCTATAAAATTCCCTTAACTTAAAGCTGTGAAATAAATCATAATTGGAGACCCAGCCCTTTCTCACTTCCTGATTAATTTTATGGATTTCTGTTATATAGTCTAAGACAATGCAGAAGATGAGTAATGTACATCCACCATTCTTGGCTCCTGCTCTGAGTGCAAAATAGCATGTCTCTGGGGGCACTAAGGGCCTCCATGTCTCTTCTCTAGCGAAGAATTAAACAAACCAAAATTGCCAAAATTCAGGGTAAAACACCAGTAGGTTGAGGGGTACCTGACATTTTTCAAAGAGCAACCTGAAAAGGAAGAATGTATCTGGCATGGCTCTCCCCAGTCGCTAAGAGTTCTTGTGCTTGAGAAATGCACATTATATTTTATGTAAGTTACCAGCAGCCTGGAAACTGGCCATGTACCCAATGCAGCAAAGGCCAATGCTATTGTCTCTATTCCGCAAGAGGGAATGGGACTGTTAAAACACTTTAGCAAGAGGATTAAATTCTCCAACTGGAGCAAAGATAACCAAGAAAGTAGGGACTTAGTGGTGAAACAGCTTTCAGATAGCTCAAGGGGAAGAGAGAGGTTTGACATGAATTAAAACATGTCCATGCCAACTTTGTTCCTCCTCTGCCTGGAAATCCCAGAAGTCTAGAGATGGAAAATACCTATCGCATCAGCCACTCTGTGATGGATTATCTCTGTCATGCATCTGCTAGTGCTCCATTTCATTTCACTAAGCCAAAAATTGCATCATTTCCCCAGCAAAGATTGCTTCTTAGAGAGCGTCTGGCAGGTAAATGGTTGCCATCAGCTGTACTCAGACTCGCTGGCCTCAGCTTTAATGTCACAGCTTCTTCCCCCAGCAGGCAACTCCAAACATGTTGCATTAAACTTTGTGATGAGAAACATACACACTAAACACAGTGGCACTTTCCGTGAGGGAGAATTTGACCCCTAAAAAAGCTGTAATTTTGTGTTAAATCCTGCATTATCTGAAATTATGTTGAGTTAAAGGGGAATCTTCTTTAAGTACCAATAATACATGGCCTGTAGTATGCAGCTGCACAATTCCCTCTGCAGCAAAGAGGTGTGCACACACTAGCTGGCTCATTGGACTATATACCTGATGGTTTACACTGTTTGTATACTGCAAGTGCAATTTAACATACCTACAGTTACATATCTGTTTTGCTGAGTGCACTGGAGAAATACGAAATGTAAATTTTGCATTTCATTGCATTCATTTGCAAATTGCACCCAAGAAATATGAAATGCAAAGCACTATAAAATTTAAATACAGAGAATATAGTGGTGTATTAAACCTATTCCCATAGTTGGATGTGTTTCAGTTCTTCAAGCCTAGGACAGGATTAAAATCAAATTTCCTCTCTGCTTGTCATGAAGTAGGTTATTATTACACTTGTCTGCATGTCCATGATTTTTGGAATTCAAAATATCATTGTTTGAGCTGAAAGAGTTTTAATAAACAAATGATAACAGGTGAACTATACAGGACTTGACTTAAACATTGGTATCAGCAATAGGAACAAAACACTTATGTTCTTGTTGTTTCTAAAAAACATCAATCAACAAAAACTTTATTTAAGTAGAATTTTGTTTTGCCTAGTGCTAGAAAAAACTTCATCTTCTGCCCTTCAGATTTTTCCTTTTAAATTTGGACTGCAATATTTTATGTATAATCAGGTTATGGCATTTTCCCTTTGTTCTGAGCTAATGGGTATAATATCTAAAATGCCATGTAAAAGGCATAAAAAGATTCCCTGTTTAAAATGCACATATTACAGATGATTTAGAGTTACATTCTGAATTTTTTTCCTCCGAAACTGTGAAGTTGATATATATTATTAAATCTACTCATTACATTAGTATCTGTTTTTTTCAAGCTATTCCTTAGAATAAAATTTTTGAACACTCAGAATTTCATTTTTTGTCTCAAGCTCAAAAGAATATACTTTATATATACAATTTTAAAGTAAAAAGTTATTCTCTGCTAATTGAATCTTTCCAAATACCTCTATAAATTTTGTAATTTTCCTTCACATCCAAATGAGTTAACAGAATCTAAAACTTTAATATATTAAATAAGTAATACCTTGAAATAATGAAGAGACTGTATATCAGAATATATGATTGCACAGGATCACAGTTTCAGCAAAACAAAGGGCTGCTGTCTATGTTGAAACCAGTGTCCCCACCCACTGCTGGTTCTACCAGCTCATTAAAAGATCCTATAAAGCAACCCAGCAGGATACAGACCAATACACAGCTTTAATAAAAATAATTTCATAAATATATCACTAATAATCTTAGCAAAAAAATAAAATATCTCATTAGCTTTAAAGATATCTTTAGAAGATTAATTCAGAGTACCTGGACTCTATCTGAGGTAGTCAGTTCTACATCATCTACCTCTGGTCTCAGGACTTTTTGGTCTGTAGAAGTGCTATTATCAACAGTCCACTCTATAAGTTGACTCCGCTGTTTCAATATTTCCCTGCTTCTGGAACCTTTATGGCCAGTCTGGTGGTGACTTTGCAATACTTTGGCCACTGGTTTATAAGATCTTCTGCTCACCTCCATGTATTCATCTTGACACAGGCAAAATGGAAGAAAAAATAAAGCCAGTAGATGCCAACTGATGAAATCCTTCTCTGCCATGTTATTCAAAATAGTTTTTCAGGAGTCCAGCAAATGCCTTGCAGAAGGAGAACCTCTTTGCTGCACCAGGAGTTATGTGTTCCTTTCAGCTTTTCCACTAGTAAGCCTGGCACTGAGACTAGTACCAGGTTTTATACGGTTGCGTGCAATAAATAAAACTAAAAATGCCAAAGTGACAGGATCCTTCATCCAAAATCTGTCATGCTCCTTTAAACAAACCAGGCATTATTCACCACTTCACCACCACAAGGAAAATTGATTTGTATGCTGGAAATGACCACAGCATTTAACGGACTCCCGTGGTTCCTATTTGGGGGCATTAAAAAATGTAGCACCTTTTCTTTGGCATGTTTTTGTTTAAGTGTGAAAAAATGTGGTGGATATGGAGAACATGTGGCTAATGGTTTACGCTCCTTGATTAGACATGGAAAGGCTGTGAATTCACACTCTTAAATGTCTTTTGGACACAGTCACCTTCCTTATTTGCCAGGAAATTCACACACACAACTGCGTCAGCCCAGTCCGAAAAATCCTTCCAAGAGCAATTAGGAAACAAAAGCACAAGAGGAGCTTTTGCATATGATCCTGACCCAATGGCTGTTTCTGACTATGCTTTTCATTCACTAGAAGAAAAATATTGAATTTCTGTCAGTTGGCCAACGGTGGAAGGAGACTGGGTAAGTAGCTCTGAAAAACTGGGTTGAATTCAGATTCACAGAGCCCCATTTCTCAGCATTAGTTCAACCTACTCAGCCAGGCAACATTTTTTCCCTTGAGTTCCCAGTATTTTGCTAAATGCAACTGCCAAACCGTTTTATATCTTTGCTGCCAAGTAAATATAAATTTACCGGGGGCTTATTTCAGACTAAAAGAATCAAATTATATAGGTATAATAATATCCTTATTATATTTTTTGAACCACCCACTAGTATGCTCTAGAAAGCCACAACTGCAGAATGCAGTTCTACAAATGCAGCCACATACACACGCACACCCACCTTCCCAAGAGCAAGTGGCTCCTTGGTCTGTGAGAAACACTTGACCAGTACATGGCTACAACAACATTACTGAAGGCATCAGCCCCAGGGAATGATCCCTGGCCCCGCAATGCGATGAACTGGCTCATACTCAAGCTGTTCAATGCTGACCACGCTGCTTAGCATTTGGCTGGGGCTCCTCTGTGACCTCTGGGGTGCTCTGTGGCCCTAAATTATACCACTTTTTTTTCAATTTTCTTTTTCTTCCTGTTCAGTTGCCTGACAAAATGTGAGGTTTGTGGTGCAGGGTGCTACAGTGGTTGTTTTTAGAGCATGAGGCTAAGGTTGCATGAGCACCAAAGGGCCTGTTGGGATAGTGGTGAAGGGTTCATCCATCCAGAAGGTAGTCTCTGAAGTCAATGATCCACAAATATCACCCAGGCTTAATTTTGAGGGGGAAAATAGACAGCGCACTCCAAAAGAGATGCTGGGAACAAACCAGGACGTGACCAACCAGAAGGCCAAGACCCACCAGTAAAATGAGGTGCTAAGTTATTCAATAATGTAAAAAGCCTTAAGCATACCAGCATGCTATGGCAGCAAAGCGTAACACCACAGGCACTGCTAAACAGGGGAAATAAGTTACATCTGCTAAAATGCCCCAACTTCATTGACTGCAGCTGCAAGGGGCAGCCATTACGTGTCTTCACTGCTTGGCGTATTACTGAGATGGGGATGAGATATGGAGCATCTGAAGAAACAAAGCCTAATCTTAATCCTTGTGAAATCATAGCAAACCCTCTTTTTGACCCCAAGTAAGGAGAGTAAGGCTCAAGCAGCAAGGATTTTGAAAGTGGCTGTGACTCTCCTGTCTAAATGGAAGATGAGCCCAGAAGGGAGATCTGTGATGTGATGGCTTTTCATTCAGACCCTTGTAGATGCTGGAAGGGATGCACAATTAATGGTTGCTAAATGATGGTGAGAAACAGCTTGAATGGTGGTGAGAAAGCACTCTCTGTTTTATATTCAGCTCCTTTCTGTGGAAGACAGCAGAGCAAGTCACATCACAGGAGAAGGTGCTGGCTGGAGATGCAGTGGAGAGGGGTGAGCAATGCTCAGTTGGGGTATGTGTGCCAGTGGCACAAGCCCTGGGCAAGGTGTCAGTGTCAGCCTGTACCCAGCTCTTTCCTCGGTTATCTCCTATTTAACAGCCCACAGAGAGGAGTGTGGGGCTGCGCCAGTCCCCCAGAAAGGCAGTGCCAGCCCCCACGGACACATAGGGTCTGGGCTGAGACAGTGCAGGGGCAGCGCTTGGGGCTACTGGAAGCAAAGGCAGCCAAGGACAGGTCTTCCCTTTTTCTCCTTCCCCACCGGCCAAGCATAGTGTAGGAGCAGAGACCTCGGCTGCTGTGGGCTCAGAGTTTCCCCCTGGGGATAAACATGACCCACTGCCTGCAGCACCCCAGTTGTCTCAGCGACAGCCCCAGGAACAGGGATGGCTCCTGGTTATCTCAGCCCACAGGCTTGCCAGGCAGAGCTGTGTCTCCTTGCTTCATGTTTTTGTGGTATTTATCTCCCTTATTTTGAAGCTCTAATGGCAGGAATCTTAATCCAATTTCAGTGAAATCTTTGATTCTCAAGCCAGATGTTCAGGATCATTGAATAACACTTCATAGATTAGCTCCTGAGCCTTGCTTTAGTGTATAAATATTAATTAACTAAATAGCCTTGCAGAAGAGGCTCGTTAGCCTATGCTTTATAACTACTGAAAATCCTGATTTTAAAGAAATGCAAATATTCCAGTTATTTCTCTGGGCAAGGAGAGATGGAAAGGAATTTACTGGAGAGTGAAGCAAGACTTCTGAAAACACAGTTCCAGATTTTGGAAGCTGCTGCCACCAAAATGGGTTTTCTTTTTCAAGGAGAGAGGAGTTTCTTGGTAGGAAGGGAGTTTGAAAACCCCGGACTCTGTAAAATTGGGAATGACTCAGAGACAAACATTAATTTATCTTGGCACTTAATAATTTGATTCAGCAAGTGCTGGGACAGTACTGATGTTTTCAGCTGCCGTTAGGGCTTTCATGGCTTTCCAAACTCTCTTCCAGGAGCTTCCTGTGGCGAATGTTTCCAGCGTGAGTAATGAACATCCACAGCACCCATGTCCCAAAGGGAGGAGGAATAAAACCAAAGAGATTTGGGCTTCAAAGCCCCCATCTATCATTTCATGCAAAAGCTGAAACAAGCATGTTTCTTGGCAGCTATTAGAAAGAAGAAAGATCCCCTTTCTCGCTTTCTAATAGAGTCCACCTGGTTCCTACCCATCACTGCTCTTGTGGTTTGATGCTACACACATTTTTTGGTCCAAATTAATAGTAGAGTTTAGACTTGGCTCTTTTGTTTCCAGTCTTTTGAACAGAATCCCATCTGCAGAAATCTTTGCTGCCCATCATTCTCCTCTGTGCTTCAGCAAGGAATAGCTGGCCCACAAAATCATTGTCTACAGGCAGAAATTTTGGACTCGGAAGTAAAAAGTAATGGAGGAACTGATTCTGATTCTCCATTCTTGATCTCCAAATGGTCTATCCAAATATGTGAACTGAATCTAAAATAATAGGACATCAAAATAGCAGTGCTTTGAATTAACTTTGTACTGGAATAAAACACTGATAATGCTTCATGCTGAGAAGAACAGATCCTACTGATCTGGAGGTGAGAAAAGGACTGACCTAAAAGGTTTGGGTTTGCTTTTAGTTGCAGGGCTGGTATGCATTGCAGGAGTGCTGACAGAGAGAATAAAATCTGACCCCCTCCCTACCTCTTCGCTGTGTGTTTGCACACCCAGCATCACCCTTCCAGCCTTTGCTAGCTGAGCTCAAGCACAGCTGTAATTACCTTTCCCCTGTCGGTCTCTGGCAGCAGGATATGCCTCCACCTGGTAATCAACAGTTTAAGATGAAGTGAAGCACATGGATCTGTTTATGTCAGATAATGAGATATCAGCTAAAATGCAATAACTGCTGAGTGAAAGCTGCTTCCCACCTTCTCTGCAAGCAAAAACTCTGCTCTGTGAGAAAGGGGACCCTTATTACTATGTTATTCATACTGACATTGGGAAAGTGGGTTGTTAGTGAGGTTATTATGTAAAACTGCAGGCCACCATTTCAAGATGCAACAAAACAAAATGATTAAAATTTTAAAAAAACCAAAAGTCTTCTGTGGCCCAGGCAGGATTGTTTCTGTAATTAAACATTTACAGGTCCTTTACTTAGAAATTGTCCTGTTTGCAGTGTCAACTCCTTCACACTGAACAGAGATAATCTACACCTGCTATTTCACAAGCAACCTCCACGGAGCCATACTCAGTGTGGCTGCAGGGAGAAAACAGCTTTGAAGCCTTTTCCCACCTCCGTGCTGACCACTGCAAACCCACAGGAACAAGTGAGGTATTTTCATTGAAGGCTTCTGTGATCTGCTCCTTGTTTCTGCAGGACTTTTGGTCAGTAATGGGGATTCAGGCAAAACTCGCTGCCCTCCTCCCCCGGGGAGCCTCCACAGAGCTGGGCTACCAAGAGGAAGGCAGATTCATGGGGCTTTCCAAGTGTTGTGCACTCAAAAAGGGTTTGCACTCACAGTCTGTGCAACATCTTCTCCATGGCTGAACATTTTCTTCTCCTGCAACCCACTGCCACTGAGCTGTATGGACAGCGATGGTGCTGTGAATACCCTGGGCGGTTTTTTTCCTGACATCCAAGCTGTGTGTAGTTCACAGTTACACCAGTTCCTGGAGGTACATAGCAGTGAGGTGTGTTGTGTAGGTGTTTTCCTCACTGGTTATAGAAAGCTATCACTAGCTGTCGGAGGAGGAGAGTGGGGCAGATCCAGCTCCATTACATGGCTTCTGCAGTCACCCGAAGGAGATGAGTTTCCAGAAGCATCTGGATCCTCCCTAACTTTGACTTTTCCATCAATCAGGAAATCCTCTTGACTCGCTTGACGCTAGCATTTCCTTTCCGGTGTAATATGAGAGCTGGGGTTGAGGTCCTGCCTCTCTGCCACCCTCCACCACTCCTTGGGCCCCCACAGTTTGCCCAGG